CACACCAAATATGGCACTTATGGGTGGTAATTTCATTATTAATAAATCAGAGGAGTCTATGAAGACTAGAGGCAAACACTCTCACAAATGGAAGTTTCCCTTAGCCTTGTTCATTGTACTTCTTGGTAATCTCCCATCGACTCTCCACCTGCATCTTTAGCTGAAGGATGAATTTTAAGGTGATGGCTTCCACCACTTTGGTGAACTACTCTTTTCTGGAGTCTCTTCCCTATCTACAGGAGGTATGCATGTTATCAAAATTTAATTTTCCTCTTAATAATCTGTCTTGTGTTAGATTAATGAAATCAAGAGAACTTGAGGGTAGATGATTTTGAACCACTAGACTTCAAAATTCACTTAAGGAAAATAGTGGTCAGATTTGATCAGATTCAATGAATAAAATACAATTTGAGGTATTCATTACCTATACTCTAAAAATAAAGGATGAAAATGACAAAGTATATTTACTTCCAAACTTACTTTCAAAAGAACCATTTGCCATTGCTAAAGGTCACAGCCTTCCAAAATGGCAAAGAACCTTAGATGCATTCTATACCAATGTCCTGGAATTTACTAAGTAACAACAAAAGAAATGGTCTGTTCAGCGTCCTTCTACAAGTTAGATGAAAGTCTGGTCTTTCTACTCCTGAATTTAAGCTCTTCCCTGACACAGTAATTCCATTCTGGATATGTTGTGTCAGAAATATCCTTTTAAATGTATTTTTTTAATCCTCACCTGAGGATGAGAGAAACATCAATGTGAAAGAGAAACATCGATGAGCTGCCTCCCTTACTATCCCTGACAGGGATTGAACCTGCAATCCTTTGGTGCAAGGATGATGTTCCAACTAACGGAGTCACCCAGCTAGGGCTCCCATACTTTAAAATGGCACTTGAATATCTAAATGTATTATATATATTCATTGGAAGTGGGATAGCAAGAAGGAATGCAGAACCCACCAGTGTTATAAACTCTCTGCATACATTTTCCTTGCATACCAAATTTTACAGAAACAATTTACATTTAGTCCCAATGTTGTACAGGTTAACAAATTATAGAGTAGACTAATTGAATTTATTTCACTATTTATAAACTATTTAAGCTGTCACTACTAGATGATATATATAGGCGAGTTCTGCTTCTCTCCATTGCACAAAGAGAACTGGCGAAAGACTACATGTACATCAAGATTATGCAATGTCAAGTATGGTGATTTAAAAGCAAACAAGCTTGAATTCCTCAGTTAAGTACTAAATCTAGTACCCCTAATCAAGAGAAAGCCAAGTCAGTAGGAAGTATGGCCTCAAATACAAATATAAGTGTATTGATGAGATACAAGCCATCCCATTTGTTGACCAGTAAAAAGGAGGCTTCTGATACTGCAGTGTAGGATACTTGGAGTGGTGTCAGGAAACTCTTCCTTGGTCACAGGCCAACAGTGTTGTATGCATTCAGCAGGTATTGACACCACAAACTTAAACTCTGGTTTTCTCCCATCAGAACAAGTACCTTAGGTAACCCTAAAATGACAAATGTATCATCCAGAGTCACCATAATCCTACTGACATAAGCTCTATCTATCCAAAGGATAATGTACAGATCATTAGAAAAGCATTCCTTGGTACCAAGAATGGGGATCAAGGTTCTTAGACACTTGGTGACACCACTTCCTATTACATGAAAATAAACAGGTCTCTTTCTCTTTTCTTCTAAGTTTAGTCATGGCATCTGATAAAATCATTTAAATGGGCAATGGTTAGGATAAACTGTTAACCTCCCTTTCTTTAATTCTCCCACTTAAGTGCCCAGCTAAAATGAATGCTATAATCTCTGTGTTTGAAAGATCTGTTGATCAGGAAACCCAGAACAGTGTCTACAACAATGTTGTGTTTTCCAGCAAGTACATATTTATGAAGATAAAAGGAAAGAACACAGATATGAGTGAATATTTTTATTGAAACCCTCAAAGATTAAAGAGGACCAAATGGTGAGTTTGGGTACCATAACAGAAAAGCTCACCTAACTGTACCATCATTCACGGGAATGAACAAACCCAAACACGACAAAATTCAAATTCTCATGTAACTGCTACAAGTGAATGTAAATAAACTAATAATCATTTTATCATAACCTTTCTGTAATCATACGAAAAAGGGAATTTACATGGCATAACAAAAGATATGCAAAACTTAAAACACAATTCTCTTTAAATTTCTCAAACTTATTTTTATAGGATGCAGAAAGCACTTGAAATGATTAAATGATTTAAGCTGATTCTTTTTTATTGCAAACCATTTATCATCAGCTTAACCTCCATGCATGGTATTCAAAAAGAACACAGCTTTTGAATTAGAAAGATCACAAGTTAAAATGAGGAATTAAATACTGAAATTAGGAAAAAGCTGGGGTTTCTTTTGAAAGGAATCTTCAAGTACCAGTAAGTATAGAGACAGAATACTAATTTTGGTTACATTTTCCCCCTTACTGTTAAATATACAAACTATTATACCTTCCAAAATACCCACATAAGGTAACTTTAATAAGAAACATTCAAACCAAATCTTGGGAAAATATTAAGCAAGAAATTTCCCAGGCCCCAATCTTGTCTTAATTTGTGATTATTCAAACATTTGATTATGTGTTTCCTGCTATAGAGCCCAGGTTCTCTCCTTTTTGGTCGCTACAGTTAAACATTCAGTTAGTTGTGCTATTTAGACAACCTGTGATCATTTCATTTAGAGGGAAAACCTTTTGCAATATATTGATAGACCAAGGAGGAAGAGAAAGTAGGTGCTCTGAAGAAATCGTAAACGGAAAAACAATTACTGATTAAAAAGATAGTTTTTATTTCCAAAGGAATGCTGCACCCATTTCACTTGATATTAGAAATCCAGGTTAAAGGCACTGGGATGTACACCTCACGATGAGCAGACCATTCGATTACATTAGACGTTTCTGTGTCTGCTGTTGCAATCAGCCCACTTGCTGCGTGTTTCTGTGACACTTCTTACATAAAAACCAAATGTAAATCAAACAACTTTCAATCCATTTATAATGTAACTAGTTTTATAAAAATATTCAGAGTTGCTAATAAAGCACCAGAAAAGGTGAACCTCAGAGTGAGGACTCAGATCCTTTCTATGAGGTCCCTCTTTATAGTTTTCTCTAACAGGACCTCCAGAGTGACAACAGTCATCTTGGACATGTCCTACCTAAATAATCTTAGGGATGTAGAACATTGCTGTGGTTACTATACCCAAATGCCAATTTTTATTATAAATAAAGAGACATGTCACAAGATAAGATTTCATGGCTTACTCTTAAAAAGGTAAAATAGGTGCAACTTTCCTTTAAGAAAGTCTTTATTTTCTAATATACCATTAATATTTAATGTTCCCTTCAGTAAACACTGATATAACTACAATGGGACTACCAAAGACCTGTGAAATAGCTACGATTATCTACAAATACTGTATTTTATTTCATTTGAATACAGCATTTGCACATTTTAAGAAAACATTGTACAAAAAATTATATAAATGAAAACATCAAAGAAGTATCTGTCACTAAATTTTTGAACTGAAGTGATCAAATGTGTAAATGTAAATGAAAAGGTTTCTAAACATGATGTAAACATAAATGGAGTAATGCAAAACACCAAGGTATTCAAATCTACTGTATTGCTATTTTCACCCTTATATCGTTCTACATAGCTTTCTCCTTTTGGAACAATAACATAAGGGGCAGTACATTATCTTCATAACCATATGCCATCAGATCAATTAATACAGATGACACATTTAATTATACAAAATCAATTTGCTTCAAGACACAAAATTAATGTTGATATGTAATTAATGAAAAAAATAAGATGTTAAAAAGATAACTATAAGAATACCCAATATGCTGTATTCCCATTTATATAGATCTGATCAATAAAACATCAACACATTCACTTAGATACTGATTTAATCCATGGATCAAGGCCATATTTTCAAAGTATTTTAAGGATGCCAGGACACTGCAAAAGCTGGAGAAAAGAGTTCAACAGTATATACTTGCTAAACAAGAACTATGTTTATTTAGCTAGTGAATACCTAGAGTAATAAATGTTTACTTCATGATAGCAATCAGGCTCGCAAACACCCAGAAATAGGAATTAAGGATTTTAAATGTAGTTATAAAGGTCATAAAAAGTCTGATTAGACTGAGGTACATTTACTCAAAATTTTGAGATTAAGTGATAGCAAACAAAATAATTCCTCAGACAAATGCACATTTTTCAGTTTACATATTATTGGGGGAAGGAGGAGAGAAGAATGTGCATTAACTGGTGAAATCCACCAAGCTGCATATCAATATTCTGTTACACCAAACAATTTAAAGACAAGGAAATGTTCTAATATAATCTCAGATTATGTTTCATTTGGCTAAAATAGAGCTTAAGACTGCTTTGCCATATTAAAAGTTTACTACAATAATTCTTCACATAAACATTTAGACTTGAACTCCAGGACTAAATATGGCATGATTATTTTGCTTTTAATCTGTCAAATAGCTAAAAATCGACAATTTAAAAACTACAACAAAGAAATGTTGAAGCAATGTGACTCTTACATCATTGAACCACTTCTAATGGTTAACTGTTAGTATTTAACAAAGTCGAAGAGTTAATGAATCCTTGCATTCATTCAGTCTTCTGTGCCTTAGCTAGGATGCATAATTACAAAAGACAGCAGATACTGGTAAAAGCTTCAGGACAGAAAGTGCTTGACGAAGTTACAGTTCTCAAGTGTGTTTGGTGAGAATATAAGGGCAGATGCGCTGATGAAAACCATTACAAGAGTCAAAGAGTTCAGAGAGTTCTGTGTTAACGAGTTCAAAGATGTCACCTTATGCAGAAAAAAAAAAAGCTTTAATAATGTCTTCTTTGACTTATTAGGCATTTCCAGAGTCTACATCATTAGTGTTGTAATTCTAAGAGGACATCTTCATATGGTTATTGTTTGTTTCTATTTCTCTCCTGAAAAATAAAAAACACAAAAATGTAACAAAATGCCATCATTTATATAAGATTTAAATTAATATAATGTAAATCACATTAATAAAAAGTTCTTCAAATACTAATTCAAGTAATTAGTAAAAACTGATTACTATTACCTCTACAAACCATAGTGGGATGATCATCACAAAACATTTCTAAGTAAAAACTACTAACACTTATTCCAGACCCCCTCCACATCCCTATTTTCCCACAGCATTTTGGTTAAGGTGAAGACATTACAAATAATTTCTTCCTAGCCCTTTCAAAGAGTGGTTGATAATGAGTTACCAAAGAGATTAAAGTAAAAGGAGTCTGTAGCAATTTCAAAACTATTTGAAAAGGTAGGATTAGTAGAAAAGGAAAAGAGTCCCATTAAATTGTCAGTTAATAAAGATACTTTGAATCACAAACTTTCTCCATATCATATTCTCACGTTTAGTATAACTTTCCACATCAAGAAACATTTACACTGATTATTAGTTTATTCTAATAAAGCAGAATTCCCTTGAACAAAAGTTAAACTACGTGATGCTTTCATGTTTATTAACCAAATATATTTACCTATAAAACTTCTTTTAATTGAATGTATCAGTGAGAACGTACCATCTTGTTTTAATGTGCAACTCAGAGATTCTCAAACTTCAGCAACACCAGAATTACCTGGATGGCTCGTGGAAACTCTACTGAGTCCCCAAACTCAGGAGGTGAACAAACTCAAGGGTTTGCAGTTCTAACAAATCTTGAACATTTACATAAGTTATACAAATGTGTCAACTATAATTTGAACATTTTTAAAAATTAAATCTGTAGTTTACCAATGTTAATTTCTTAGTTTGGATAAACTGACTATGTAATATAATCTAAAACTAAATAAAGAACATACAAAAACTCGCTACATTATTTTTGCAACAAAATAATTTAATAAAGTTTTTCAAAACCATTAATAAAAAGATAGAAAAATATAACCCCCACATTTATCATATTAAAGTTTAAAAGAAAAAGGTGTGCATATTTCAAGAAAAGACAATTTATAATGAACAAATGATTGGACTTAAAATATATAAAAAATTCAATTCTTCAGGATGCCTTACCAGAAACGAAATCTGTATAGGTTGGCTGACAGGACTGGAAAAATTCATGCTACAGAGTAGAACAAGGACAATAACAGATGGATAAAACTCCCAGCTGTTCAAAAGCCTGTACATTTGTCCAGAGCCATTAAAGGGCTATAAAACCGAGACAGTTTGACATGCACTATCCCAACAACATGATGGGTCCTTTAGCATTAAGAGAGCAAATGACAAAAAATGTAAAGAAAACAGACCAATTCTGCACTGTAAAATTAAAAGAAAAATTCATCAGGGGAAAGGACAATCAACTATACTTTGGAGGTTCTGTTTTTGGAAATCAACTCTTCAAACTTGAAACTTATGCTTCCATTTAATTGAGACTGTCATATTCTTGATCTTCTGCATGAGCACACTATAAGAACTACTTTAAAAGACTCTAGTGCCCAAGTGTGCATTTATAAAATAAAGTAGTATTTCAGGTTTGAGAAAATAGATTCAGTCTAATATATAGTATCAACCAAAGATCAAATACCTCAAAATGTACCACAAAATGAGAGAGTTGGAAAAAGTTCAAATGGTGAAAAATGGTGAACAGTCAGGGTCCAAAATGGTTCAAATGCGAGTAAGAATGGAGTTCTAAGACGTAGGACTAATTCGTTTTGAGTTGTGATTTAGTTTCCACAAAATAGTGTTACCCAACACACTAAGTTACTATTTTTATTTTAGTCTTATTTTAGTTTTAGAGTTTTCACTTAATTTCATATTTAAGTAACACTATCTTTAAAAGAAAAAGCACAAGATCAAAAAGAAATAAAATGGTCTCTTCACAATTGACTTGACTGTTAGGCAGAAAATCTTAAGGATGTTATATAGGACTACTAAAACTAACAGGTGAATTGAGTGAAATCACAGGATACTGGACATTTCTATAAACCAACTAAGAAGTAAAACTGAAAAGGCAATTACAATAACAATAAAAATATAAAATACTTCAATAAATTCAGCAAGAGACATAATGGCCCTCAACAATGAAAATCACAAAACAGAGAAATTGTATTCACCTTCCCAGGCAGCCAGGCTCAAAAAAGAATAGACTGGGCTATAGTGGCTTACTGGTAACCTTTTATATTTATCTGTTGAATGAATAAGGGAATAATTAAAACACACACACATGGAGGTAACAGTTGACTAGATATGTGCTGGAATTCTCAGGGAAAAAAATTAAACTGGGACATGGTGAAAGAGGCACTTAGAGCCAAAGCTAAGGAATCCTCATGCAATTCTATTTTAAAGTCAGATTTTTGGACTCTACAGCAGTGGTTCTCAATGAGGAGCCCATGCCCCCCAAGAGGGCAATTTGATTTTTAAGGGGAGCAATTCGAGAATGAGTTATTAACAGTGAATTTTTTGCATTCCTTATGGTTCTTGGAGCCTCATATATATTATATAAATATATATTGTGACATATATATGCATATCATTTGTTTTGAAACTTTATTTGCTATTTTTTTCATATCACTTCATATTATTTTCTAAACAATTTCTTGGTGATCTCTTCCTCAGTACAACTGTCCTTTTGTTCTTTTTTCTTTCTCTGTTCATGGATACCATGTACTTTGGAAGCTTGTTTAGACCAAGTTAATGGCCTTTTAGGCTTCCCTACATGAACAGTGCAGTTTTTTAATAATAAAAATTATATGTGGGGGGGGAGGGGCGCGAGGAGGAGAGAAGGGAGGAGAATCAAAGTTATTACAAATGTGAAAAAATTTTTTTTTATCAGATACTAAAATTTACTCTTTGGAAATATCCAACAATACAGAATAGCATACATGACTAAAATACATAGAAGATTCTAAATTTAAAACTATTTAATTAGAATTTTATTATAATTATGCATTTCTTGTTTCTATATAAATTGCAGGGCTTCCTCTCTTTCTAATGGAATAAGTAAATGCCATAGTTTGAAATTTCATCTCAAAGTTACAGGCAATTAAAAACTAATTATTCCTATATGGGTATAAAGAGCTAAAAAATCTCATCTCAGATTTTGTTTTCTGAAAATCAAAGAATATAGTAGTATTTAAACAACTCACTTTCAGTACAACAAAAAATAAAATTTCAATAAAATGATTATTAGTCAAAAGTAGACTCTAATGCTATGTAGATAAGTTGGATTTCTACTGTACAAATATACGAAGGACATCAGTTCTTTGTTTTCCTTCTTCTATTTTCCAATTACCCAGATTTATCGTTAGAAGTTGAAGGAAAAAAAAATAAAGCCCCACTACCCTCCTCTCTAGTCCTTTATATTTTAAGTTCCTCTGATGAATTGCCACTAATTTTAAGTAGTGTACTAATACATAAATTTCTCAATTTTGCATTCAAAGACTATCAATTTCCACTGTATATGGTAACTTGTCTTAAGTTGAATGCTATCTTCTCCTCTCTCCCCTCTACATTAGAAGTCACACTATTTTTTAGTTCTAATGATTGTGCTTATAACTTAACACGCTTAAGGCACAATTGCATGATATATCCTCTCAATTATTTTACCTTCAGAAAGATGAGAAAGTGCATCTTCCTCAAACCTTTGCTTCTTGATCCATCTCATAATATTTTGTCTAACTATAATAAAATATTTTATATACTATTATCCATTTCTACAAATGAAAAATTAGTAGGTAACATTACATAACTTGAATGATCAAGTACTTAGTTCCCAAATAAAGTACAGTAATTAAACCAATAAAAAGAAAAATTCTATGACATTCAAACTTTCAAAACAAATTTTTTTTAAAGCATTTACTCATTTACCAAATGTTTATTAAACACTGTGTGCCAACTATTACGTGCTAGGGCTTCAGGAGAGAACAAAGCAAGTTCTGCTCTCATGGAACTAGCTTATGGTCCAATGAGAATAAGCATTAGCTAGATTTATTTTTAACTTCCTTCACACCCATCATCAAGGTCAGTGGTTTCCAAGAAAGGGTTCATTTCATTTGTCGGGCTTCAAAGACCATAGTGCCATTTAACAGAAAGTGGAGAGAGGCATACAGCCCTAATACACATTATATACAATGAACACCAGTCTTATTCAAAATGCATATAGAGTTGCTTTTGAGAAAAAGATATTGTTCTAGTATAACCAACTATCAGGTCTTATTATTTTTCTTGAATTCCTTTTTCACTCTGCTGAAATAGCTCAAATAATTTTCTCATGAAGAGCATTTGGCTAAGCTCTTTTACACCTGAAATCTTTATTTTGCACCCCCCTTCACTGACAGAATTCAATACTCATCTTTAAAAACAATATACACCATTCCTCTCTACTCCAAAATAGATTTTACATGTGAGAATCCAGAGATATAGATGAGAATTCCCATGATAATCTCCTTTTTTAGTGATTTGTTCTTGCTTGGAAAGCTTTTAAAACATCTTTATCCTGTCTTTTTTTCCATTTTTTCTTTTAAATTATCCTGTTGGTCACTCAGTGAGTCCATCCTTCTGAAAACATTTACCTTTGAGTATGGAAACTTTTCTTTAATCATTCTTCCTATTGTTTTTTCCTGTTCTCTTTTTAAGCCCTGAGAAACAGTGAGCCCCCTTTTCTACCACATCTTTCATACTTCAGACTTTTCGCCTCTATTGCTCCACATCTGGAAATTTCTTTGATTGGAAATTCCATATCATCAACGGGATCTAAAACATGAACGTTTTATTAATCTGCTTGCTCACTGCTTTTTTATTATGAGAATCACATTTATTATTTCTAATAACATTTTCTGGCTCTCTTTTCTTCTTACACTTAAATCCTCCCTAACAGCAAATCAGTTTGTTTTATATTTTAAATTACCTTTTTCTCCCTGTATTAAATATTTCTTTTAATGGGTTTGTTCTGGTTGTTCTTTC